AATTTTGTAGATTAATTTATTTTCTTATTATACTTCTTTATATTTTAATAAAGCTTATAAAAGATGGTTTTTAATAAATATAAAAAAATTTAGTCAGAAAATTTTAAAATATTTTTAAATATCAAAATTAGTTTAAATAAGCTTATTAAGATCTATTATTTAAGAATTTTACTTATAATATATTGTTAGATTTTGAAATAAATGATGTCATTGTATCAGAAAATAATATAAAAGGGAATTAAAGTAAATAAAATACAGTTTAATGAACGATTTTAATTATAGAAGCAATAAAGATTACAAAAGTGATAGGAGTAGCAACTTAGATCTAAGGAGAGATATAACTTTAGATAGAGGTAGAGAATATATTTATATGTATGAGAGTGTAGTAGAAAGAGAAGCAATAAGATTTTTTATAAGTATAACTAGTTTTAAAAGAAGTAAACATGTTAATTTTTAAGATATGTGGCTAATGTGGAACTTCATTCACATAAAGATGAATGTGATACATGTTATACATTTAAGGATGAAATAGTGTGACAATTCTATACACTTATAAGGACTGAAAAAAATGTAGTTGTTGATATACAATGCAAGAGAAGAAAGGTTTAAAAGTATAGTAGGATATTATACATACATAAAAAGATTTTTGAATATGGATTGTCTGAAGGAGAAGTATTAGGGAATAATGAATAATTTAAAATATTGAAAAGAAATGATAAAGCCAAAAATCAAAGGTTTATATATTAAAGCATAACTTGGTAATTATGAATGAAGTAGTTGATCATATAACTAATAAATAGGTAATTGAACAAAGACGAATAGGTGGTAAATTTTAATATAAGAATAAAAGCAAGGCTTTAGAAAATTTAATTAAGATTATAAACAAAGAGAATACAGTGAAGATAAAAGGAATATAAATACAGTGGTAGTGGAAATTTATAAAGAGGAAACAGAAAATAACAATACATACAACAACAATATAATGTTAAAATAGTTGAACAAGTAAGTAATAAAAGAGACAAACAAATAATATCAGAAATAATTATAAATAAGAATAGGATGATTAAAGATATATTGGAAAGAGGTGCAACAGTTACATGTTTAATTGAAGAAAGGCGAAGGAATTAAAGTTAAAAATTGAAGAGTTTAATAATGATAGAAGAATATGTAAAAATACAAATGATAGTAAATTAGAGGTTTTATGAAAGGTTGAATTATGTTTTTAATTTGAAATAAGAGAAATTAGTGTAATAGTAAAATACTTGGTGAAGATTATTTAATTGGGTTAGATTTAATGCAAAGTATAATAGAAGGAATTTAATTTATTTCCTATAAAAGTATTTTAGTAGATAAAATTAAAAAAAGTGATAAGGTAATTTTAGATAAGGTAAATTATGAAATATGAGTTAAAATTGAACAATAATAAAGAAATTAAAGAGTTAGTGTTAAAATAAAATAGAAAATTAAGATGTACAAAAGATTACGAATTTGAGATTTTTAATGTTTATGAAAATAATAAGTCAATTGATATTAAGAAGAAGAATAGGAGAAGTGAAAATACTGGTGTTAATATTAAGAATATTAAACCAATAAAGAAAGAGAAGATGTTACAATCATAAAACAAATGATGTTGTTGTTTCAGAAAATAATATTAAAGAATATTAAAGTAAATAATAAAAGTTTTATAAAAGATATAAATTATAGAGGCAATAAAGATTATAAGAGTGATAAGATAAACACAATTTTGAGAAGTATATTTTCAAAAATCTAATCTAAAAATTTCAATGTATATAGATAGTTTTCTTTATATTTTTATAGTATCATATTTTTTAGTTTCAAACAATGACTAAAATCCTGTTTAAAAATCACTATATGTATAATAGTTAAAAATTTTAAAAGAAACACAATTTAAACTTTGTATATTTTAAAGAAACTTTCTCTTCTTATTTATAAAATATGATATGCTTACATCTACGCTTTATTTTTTAAATTATTGTTATTTTTTATAAAATTGTATAAATATTTATTTATCCAATAAAGAAATTTTTATTATATATTTTTAAAAACAATTAATTAAAACATTTGTATTGTGTTTTTTCTAAAAAAATGATTTCTGTTTTAAATAATTAAAATAAATTTTTTTTCTTTCATAAATAATATAGAATTTTAATGATTGAGATTATTTTTAGATATTTATTGTTATATTTAATTTTACTAAATTTTTTAAATCATATTTAAAATTTTCATATTAAAGATAGATTTTTTTAATTTATATAGAAAATAACTATTAATGTAAAAAATAGATATATTTTTAATAATTTGAATATGATTTAAAGTTCAAAAAAATTAGACAAATATAAAATCATAAAATAAATGTATTAAAACTTTTAAATGAAGTTTTTGAAGTTTTAAGTATGTATTTATAATAAATATTCTGTGTAAAAACTAATTTTAATAAGATGTTTTATTATGAATTATTAATATGGAATACAAAAGGTATTCGAAGCTTTATAAGATCTTTTTCATATTGTAAAAATTGTTTCAGAAAAGATTTTAATTTTTAAAATAAAATTTACAATTTATTTTTTAAACAAACTAATAATATGATTAATGATGTATAAAAAACTAATATAATTAATAATATGTCTATAAATTTTTGATGATTTAAAAGGTGTTAAAAATTAACTAGCTTCTCCTTTAAACAATATTTTGTATTTTGTATTTTTAAAATATTGTCAAAACTTTTAATAAAATACAGACGTTTTTTATTTAAACTAACATTTAATTTCATAGTATTTTTATTAATTTCAAGAATAGGAGTGTCTAAGATTTATCGTCGATAATTTTATCAATAATTCATATTATATTATTAGTTTAATTCTACTCATCCTTTATCTTAATTATACATTAAAATATAACTATTATAAATTAATATATATAATATTATAAGTAAATTTAAAAAGTTTAAAAAATATTTTTATTTTTCGAGGTATTTGAATTATATTAATAACTTTTTTTTCGAAAAGAAGTCCTAATTTTTGTTGTTTGTTCTTATTTTAATATCAATAAAATTGTTGATGGTAAAATAAGACATCACAATTATTTAATTTTTTGATAAAAATTTTTTGATTGATAAATAAAAGATTTATAGTTAGTAAGATCTTTGTAAGAAAAATTATTAAAAATATTTTTAAATATTTATCATAAATATTTAAGAATATTTTCCTAAATTCATTTTAACTATTAGTTTGGTATGAATAATATTTAAATTTATAAAAATTATTGCTTTTTAAATATAAAATTTTTATTAAAAATTTATTTACACACTTCAATAGTTAAAAACCTTGCAAATGAAAAATTAATATTAAAAAATCTTTATAAATTTGATACCATTAATGAAAATAACAATAATGAAAAAGTTTTTTTAAGAAAAAATATTATTATAAATTTTAATATTTAACTCATTAAAATTAGAAAATTTGATAATTATTTTATCAAATTGAATAAATCAGACGGCAAAAGAAATCTTTAAGTAAGTTTTGTAAAAAATTGGATATGAAATATACCCATAAGTTCACCATGAAGTAATCAGAGTTTAACATAATCAACTTTTAAGTGATTATAAAAAGATTTTGATTTTTGAGAGTAAGTCAGAAGCAACTCAAAGTAATTATAAATATAAATGTTTATATGCATTTAAATATTAAACATCTTTTAATTTATATCGGTTTCAGTATTCCAAATTCTTGTTAAAAATCTTTTAAATTTACCTTTTAAAAAAACAAAAACATTTAAGACTCTAAATTTCATTTTTAAGAAATTATACATGTTTTATCAATAAAAGAATTTTTTACTTTACAAAGAAAGTTTTTGATATTTTTATAATAAAATAAAATTACTTAAAATAATCTGAGTTCACATTTTCTATTAAACCTGTAATATTTGAAGCCTTATAAACTAAAGAATCATGGCTACTTCCAAAACCATTACATACATACCGAAACCTCATTTTATAAATCTAGAACAACAATAAATGTTTTAGAGAATTAACAGTATG